GCTGAGCCACAGGCTAGCCTATCCCTTGTCTGTTGTGGCTGAGGGCAGTGCTGGGTGAGTAGGGACCACTGGTCTGATCTGGAAGGCCAGGAAGATCAGTTCAGCAGTTGCAGGAGGTGTTGGCTATTCTCTTAAAGTCTGTTGGTATATCTGACCTTCAGTCAGAGTGAAAGCTGGCGATTCGTGGGCCATGTGACTCCTGTCATCTCTCCAGGTGAGCTGCCATGCCCTGGAGGCTTGTACAGGTTTCCTGGGACTTGGGGTTCTGCCTCTTACCTCGAAGTCTGAGTTCCTGTGAGCATTAGAAGGCTGTACATGAATCTGAACCAGGTTGGCCAGGATTAGACCTGTTTGTTTCCTCACGAAGGGTTAATTTTTTGTATAGATATCATCACCAAGTTAAGTTTGGACCATGATGATTGTTTCCTTGAGCCATTGGAGGTTGAGTGTATTTTCCATAACTACCTAGAATGTTGCTGTCAGCAGGCCTCAGTGTCCTCCAGACAAAGAGCTCAAGTAAATTACAGAGCACTGTATTGTCTTACCTCCAGGAGCACCTGGCCTGCTCTTGACTTTGGTAAACGTGCTGGAGTGTGCTTTTGGCCTTCTCCTGCTTCTGCCCTGGGAGGCCCTGGCTCAGTTGGTTTTCTGACTAGGGATCTGGCCAGGCTGAGGGTTAGGGGCTGGCCTGGGGCCCTCAGGGCAGACAGTGTGAGGAAGATAACTGTCTCAGAATCTCAGGTGATCCGGGCAGATAGTCCTGCTAGGCAGTAGTGAAAGTCAGACATTGCTGCTGAAGAAACAGAATGCAGCCAGTGTGTGAGCCACACAGAGAAGTGTGGAGTTTTGAACAGTTCGTCAGAAAAGATGAAAGAGCCAGGTGCAGGAGGCCATCCCTGAAGCCCCCCTATTCAGGAGGCCCAGGAGTCTGAGAGCAGCCTGGACCAAAGCCCCATCTCCCAGACAGGTGAAATGAGTGAAGTTACCCTTTATGTTTATTTTATAAAACATCCTTCCAGTGCAGTCAACACAGACACTGTAGACCTATTCTTCTTTGTCCTGAGCCTTTGAAGTCAGGCATGTGCCGTGTTCCATGCCTGTTGGGATGTGTGGCATATCGTGCTGGTGCGACGCTGGGAGAAGGAGGAGAAAGCAGCTCTGTCATAGCTGTCTAAGAAAGGCCTTTGGGGTTGAAAATGAGCATGTTTATCTGACTCATGAGGAAGGGGCATGGGAGGTGGCTCTGCCCTTGTGCGGCTGAGACTGATTGTTCATGAGTTCCTGTGCAGGGCTTTGCTCCGTCCTTGACTTGCCCAGCTAGGGGCAGGGTACTGTGTTTCCTGTTTCTTCTGATTGGTTTAAGGAGATCTCCCTTGATGCTGGTGTCCCCCGGGATGGTGAGAGCTGTTCTGGATTGCTGACCCAGAGGTCTGATGACTGCATGGGATGCACATTTTGTGGCCTCCCTGTGTGGCCTTGCTCAGTGGTGCTCAGGGAAAGAGTGGTCAGTGCTAGTTGCATCTGATGTGAATTCCTCTCTGCTCTCTCAGTTTCACAGACGAAGGGGTTTGTTCTGGGTGGCCAGCTGGGTTCCTGCCATTTCCGGTCCACAGTCCAGACTTGTGTCTCTGCTACAAGGGCACGTGGAGCAGCATGAGAGCCACAAGAAACGTTTCTGGAGCTTGGAGGCTGTGGCTGTGGCTCCCCCACGGTAGTGCTGAGTACTTTAGGAAGTTGGAGAGAAGCATTCCGTACTCCCACTTGCCAGGTGGTGTCCTGCCGTACTGTCCCTGGGGTGGTCTGTCCTTACCTAGCTTACCTGCTCTAGCAGCCCAGTCTCCTGAGCCCCTACTTCATGTTGGTGCCAAGCATCAGCTGCCTCTTCTGCTGCATCTTCTCAGAGGTGAGTCCTACTGCTGGTCCAGGCAGGACCCTGACCTGCTAGCCTGGAGCAGAAGCTGTCATTTCTGAGGACTCACTTCCCTGTACCTTGTTCCTCATGGTTCTGGGGTTCTCTCTGGCTTTTCAGTGGCTGATTGTCATTGGCTTAAACTCTCTCGGGCAGCTGAGAGAATCCAGACCCTAACTGCCAGGGTTCCTGACACTGCAGAATACAGGGTCTGCTCTCTGGAGAATGTGATTTCTTTTTCTCTTGCTTCTAAGGGAGTTCGAGGCTTTGCCTGAATTGGCACAGACAAGCCACACGAGGGTGCTGGCGGGCTGCCGTAGGAACACAGATTGTACACCACAGGTGGCAAAGCGGCCCCAGGTAACTGTGGGGGCCTCAAGGTGGTATTCACCACTGCCCCAGAGATGGGCTGTTAAGGGAAAAAACAAAACCAACAAAACCAAAACCAAAACCCTGGCCTGGACTTGGTTTCTTTCTGCTGTAAATGCTGTGACAAACTCAGAGTCTTTTCCTCCCCACAGCAGCGTTAGGGCTACTCTGACCTCAGGGGGTCTAGAAAGACTTGACCTTAAGACTTGAGGATGTTGGGTTTTCTTCCATGTGTTTTGTGACCACTTTCTGTCTATTCCTTTTGCCTATTTATGTATTGGGTCGGCCATCCTGTTGTACATCATAGATTCAGAAGGACAGTGGGCTTTCAGATGTGTTTGTCTTAAATTATTAATGTGTAAGTGTTCTACAGAGCTCTCTATCTTTCTGTCTTCAGGAGGAAACTTGGGGTGCCATGTCTTCCCTGTTATCTCTCCATATCTTCTCACTGCCTTTCAGGAACCAGCCATCCTGGGAGCCATGCTTGTCTCTCATGTGACCTTTGCTACCTGATGTTGAAGGGCTGCCCCTGGCCTCCAGGTCCCAGCTACCACACACCACATGAAACGATGTTGCATTGGGCTGATGGCCTTTTCCTTGTGCTCTGTTTGGGAATCTTTGTCTCTGAGGGTCAAATTAGTACTCCCTGAAGGTGCTAGAACACACAGTGAGTCAGTGTATGGTCCCCTATAGTGCAGGCCAGCTCTGCTTGCCCCTGCTCCCCCAAAGAAGGCTCCTTTCAGGATTGAGCTTCTCATCTGAGGGGCCTGCTCCTTAGGCTACTATCAGGATGCATTGGAACTGTGAATGAGTCCAGGCTAGACTGTCATCAAGAAGGCTCTAGAACAGATCGAGTGGAGATAAAGCTAAGGTTAGTCCATGGGCAGCTAACACTTGAGGCCTTAGCTGTAGATGGCGAAGGTGACATTTCCATTTCCTCTCACATGGCTTTAGCCCTGTAGTAGGCTCTGAGTCAAGTTTCACTGATGTATTGATAACACATTTAGGCCTTTGGGCCACATGCTTGTTGCTGAGGCTGGGGATGGGAGAACCCCAGAGACCCAAACACAGGGAGGCACCTTTTGTTGTAGAGTTCCTCCTGGGTCCAGGCTTTAATGAGACCTGTATCTGACAGGGTGACTCCTTTGTGTCTCTGATCCCAGTAATCCGAGTGGGCATAGGGCAACATCCTCCTGGACTAGATAGTATGTGACTCACATAAAATGCCATTGATACAGGTAACCTGGTCTCTGCTCTCTGGGTTTCTCCAGGCTACTCCTTGTTGTCCTGGCCTACTCTCTAGAAACAAACAAACAAGCAAAAAAAGCTTCCTTAGATAAGTCAAATCCTAGAGTAGTATTAGAAATGGCCATGTGTATGCGCGTGTTGTCTGAGTAATTGGAAGTTCAACTCCCCCCACCCCACTCCCCAACACACATACACTTTTTAATGAGTACCACACCAGCATGTCCTGATTTCTTCTGGAGCAGAGGGAGAGGGCAACCTGCTAGTTCAGATGCAGAAATGCTGATACGGGGCCTGCTGAACCTCTGAAAAACTCAGGGCTGCAGATTTACTGCAATTTGCATGTTAAAGTCCGTCCAGTTTTCATTACAAACAGAGATACCAGGCCAATGATGTGTCAGCTGTTTTCCTTACTACAGACTGTATTCAGTGGGCTGGGGTGTGTAGCTCATTGATAGGATGTGTGAAGACTTTTTCTTTTCCAGCCCCCCAAATAAAATAACAAAAATAGAAAAGAAAAAAAAATCTCACCTCCCTCTCAAAACAGCTATGCTTAGAAGAGTTTAGCATCTCTGGCATCTCTTGGCCCTGCCCACCTATACCTGCTGGAATTTCCTGTCTTGGACTTGTGATCTAAGAGCCAGGTCAGGCATAGCCATGCCTCGTCCTCTCTGTAAGTAGGTTCCCTTCTCTTTCGGAAGCTTCCCAGAAGCTTCCACAGTCTCTGGTGAAGTATCATTTAATTCATTCACATCATTGCTTGTGAATATTCCACAGAATCCATCATCAAACAACATGGGCTATTGGGCTGGTGACCAAGTACGTAGTAATAGTACTGTGTGCTGACTGAATCCCTCTCATGGGCGAAGAACAGTTAAGACTTGTAGAACTGATCCATTAACTATTAGCTCAGTCCCAGGAGGTGGGTTTATTAACCCGAGTGAATGGAGACACATAGTTAACCAGAGTTACAGAGGGCAGAGCTGTCCCTCTAACCCAGACGTCAGATTCCAGAGGCTGTGGTACAGTCTGTGCGTTCCTTCCTAGAACTATTGGAATTAACCTAAAGGACTTAATATTTGGTACCGAGAGTCCCTAGGATCGTTTCTGTTGGAGTGCTGTCATCTGCCGACACTGACCTCTTCCTGCTGTGTCTCCTCCACACTGACTGCCTTGCTCCCAGCTCTCCTCACTGAATTGAACTATCCACATCTCCCACACTGACTTCGACCCACTCACTCGTTCCTCCACACTGACCTTGCCTGGTCATGTCTCCTCTCACTGGCCTTACCCTGTTTGTACTTCTTCACCACACTAACCTTGGCTCACCCCATTCATTTCCCCTCACAATGACCTTGCCTTGTCCCACGGTTCAACTCCCTTACGCTGACTGGACCTGCCCATGCCTTGTTGGTATCTCTCCCCATGAACTCCGATCTGCTCACAGACTGAGGCGCCTCTCTTCCTCTCCCTCTAGACTTTGATCCTCATCACTTCTGGCACTGGAGCAGCTTTGCAGACTATGTGCAGTGTGTCCTGGCCTTCACAGGTGTGGCAGGCTATGTCACCTACCTGTCCATCGATTCGGCTTTGTTTGTAGAGACGTTGGGCTTCCTGGCCGTGCTGACGGAAGCCATGCTGGGTGTGCCACAACTGTATCGAAACTACCGCCACCGCTCCACGGAGGGGATGAGGTAGGGGTGCTCCTATGCAGGTTCCCACTGGAGCCATTGAGCTCTGACAGGAGGGGGAAGTCACGCTGCTTAAACACATCGGGCCTTTGACTCTTGTCTAAGAAGATATGTTTAGATGGGGCCGGGGAGGGAGGCAGAAACCTTCTGTGGAGGCCATGGCCCATCAGGAGCTGCAGCACCTTCATGCAGGACTAGGGGTTGAGGAATATGGTACCTGTACAACTGGATATGACAGGGCATATGACCCTGCCAAAGGTACCCCAACTATGGCTTCTTCACAGTGGGACTCGCCATGGCCTACCAAAGCTACAGTGTTTGGCAGACGAGGATAGACTGTTGTCAGGATCGTACTAAGAAGTGTCTGGAGACATCTGTCTAGCACAGGACGATTCCCATAGACCATTGGAAAGTCTTGAAGAAAACAGCGTTTACTCAGCACAGGTCAGCTGGTGAGGAGGAGGGAAGAACACAGCCATGCGTTTAATTTGGCACCATCCTTAAAGAAGCCATCTGACTCTACACTGAGAACCTGTCTGCTTCTCAGAGACCCCATGCACTTCTGAGACTCCATCCTCCTTCTCCCCGAGACCCTGTCCACTTCTCTCTACCCACTCCTCGCTAAAGTTCATCCTACCTCTTTTGGTCCCCTTTCTCTGAAGGTTCTTGATACCCTGTGCACCCCTGTGTATCCTGGTGATACTTTGTCGTCAGTGGAATCACAGGGTCCTGTTTTGTTGAGGAAAGCATGTCCTGGTAAGAAGGGACAGGCAGTGGATAGTGCAGAGGGTTGGGGTCATGCCAGATACCAGGTTTTACTATCCCTCAGTAGATAGTTTTACTATCTCTGCATCTTTTACTGGATGCAGGGTTGTAGAGATGATGCTCATATGCACTCATAGAGCTTAGATATAAGTGTGAGGTGTAGAAGTTAGTATACAAAGTAGACTTGAACATGGTGCTCACATAGGAAGGACAGAGATAGGCTGGCAGCTGTGACCACAGTGGATCACGTTTCCCTGGTGAGGATGGGTGGAGCCCTGAATTGGTTCTGGATTTTTTTTAATGTTTGTTGTTGCTGGAGCCATGATGATCCCACAGCTCTGGTTTGGGGCTGGTGGATGTGCCGGAGAGCACCAGCTCTGAGTCCGTGTCAGTGCAGATCACGGAGGAAAGCCACAGGGTGATTTCTGGATGCGACTAATTTGTTGCTCCAAAACTCAAGTGTTGAATGAGCCATTTTCAGCTGAGGGCAGAGACATTTTAGAGTTGGTGGTGTGGTGCCAAGGAGAGGAGCCAATGTGTGGAGATATTAGGGCTTTCTGCTGGGGCATCTTCTAGGGCCGGGTGCTAGGCTCCTTCATGTGCACAGAGGCATTTGCTGACCATGCTCCCAAGCCTGCAGGGCTGGTGCCCTTATCATTAGGATTTACCACCAGGAATCCTGGTTGGGGATGTCGCAGGTCCTGCTGTGTCCTGCCTTCTCGATGGAGTGCTGGGCTACCATGGATCCATGGGATTGTGACTCTAGAAGCCATGGAAAGTGCCATTTCAAATAAATTTGATAGAGTGCAGGTACTTCGTGTGATTGATTGAAAATGGGCTTAAGACATGTATGTGCACACACACAGACACTTCAACACATAAGAACCAGAGGCTGCTGAGAGATGGAAACAAGACCGTGTAGCTTTATCCCGTGTTTCTAAGGACCTGCTCACACTGTAACATGGGAAAAACCTACATTAGGACTTCAGTCCAATTATACTTTACATTTGGATTCCTGGGGCTGGGAGTGGGGGAGGGAGGTCAGTGGTGCAGGGAACGATTAAGAATTGAGAGGAACTTGCCTTCGTTCCTTTTTGACTAATTTTAGTAGCCTCAGAGCAGATTTCCTGGGAAGTCTTACTCTACCGTACACATGTGTACAGATGTGTGAACACACATCTACACATACACACACTCTGTCTTTCACACACACAACCCCACAGGCACATACGCGTTTCCTGTCTTGGAGCTACTGCTCAAGATACTTTTGAATAATGTCCCTCTTGAAAAATATTAACCAGCTGCGGCTTTGGAGCCGGTGGTGAATGATGACGCTTTGGAATAACTTTACTAATTAATGCAGCAGACCTCTGCAAGGCATATCCTGTGTGTATGTGTGTGGGTGGGTGGGTGGGGGTGTTTGCATTCTTCTCCTCCAGGTTTTACTAGAATTGAAGACTGTTCCCTAACAAGTAATTACTGGAGGGTGGGGGTGGCTGTAAACGAGGGAGAAAGCCAAGCCTTCAGCAGCCTTCAACAGCATGGAACAGGAGGGAGTAGTTGGGGAAGGCACTGGAAGCACAGAATGGGGAGGGGGAGGCATGGCAGAGTCTGAAGAATCTAGCAAGGAAGGGTTAGCAAGGAAGGCAGGGCCCTCGAGAGTAAGGATGGAGACTGTTTGAGAACAGGATGACAGGCAGGCAAGCTTAGCCCATGGATGGAGGCTGAGCCTCAGGCCCTGGAACCAGGCCACTCTGCAGGATCCAGTTGGGACTCTGGGCTCTCTTGCCATTATGCTCCAGAAATTGGGCTTTGCTTAACCTATGATCATACAGGTCTAGCTGTGGTCCCCTGAACAGGCCCCTCAAATTCATAGCCTTTTGGGAAAGCCAGCATGCTTCTGCTGGGACATGTCTTGGTCACTACCTGACCTCTATGGTTAACCTGTGCTGTTTGCTCTGTGAGAAGAACATATGCTTCTCATAGGGCCTGGAGCAGAAAGGCCAGGTACCACCCTGGCTAGGTACTCTGCTTGCAGAGTCCCCAGGGGAGCACATTAGTGCATGCTCAGGCTCTGGGGTAGCATTATGTTCTAATTTTAGAGTCATCTCTTTATAGAGGTTCAGAGACTTGAACTCATTGGCAGCCTTGTCCATCTGACCCAGACTACTTCACACCACTTACTTGTTTTCTGTCTTCCTGATTTGCCTGTCCTGGTCATTACACGTCTGTGGAATCGTATACTGTGTAGCCTTCTGGGTCTGGCCTGAGCATTGTTCCTTTCTACAACTTCATGATGTGGATGTTCCAGATGTTTGTCTGTCTTCAGTTGACTCATGCTGTCCTAATTTCATATATAATTTCTTCTGGACATACTGTGTTTTCCTTTATAGAGAAAGCATGTAGGCAGAGAATGGACAGGTCACGTGATAGCTTGGGATGTGATCTTCTGTGGAACTGCTACCCTGTATTCCAGGGAGCACATTTTCACATTCTACTAGTTGTACAGGGCAGGAGGTTGGAAGGTAGAGTTGAGGGATAGGGGTCAACACCCAAGCTTCAACTCGAGAGGTGGGATGGCTCAGTGGATAGAGCATGCTTGCCTGGCATTCTTTGGAGGTTTGATCCTCAGCACCACATAAACTGTGCTTAGGGGTACACACCTGTAATCCTAGCATTTAGGAGATAGAGACAGGAGGATTCTGAATTCACGGTCATCCCCAGCTATGTTGGGAATGTGATGCCAGCCTAGGATACTTAAGATGCTGTCTTTTTTTTTTTTTTTTTTTTTTTCGAGACAGGGTTTCTCTTTATAGCCCGGGCTGTCCTGGAACTCACTCTGTAGACCAGGCTGGCCTCGAACTCAGAAATCTGCCTGCCTCTGCCTCCCAAGTGCTGGGATTAAAGGCGTGCGCCACCACAGCCCGGCAAGACGCTGTCTTAAACAAACAAAAAGCTTTCAGCTCTGAAGACATTGTGTGTATCTGTTTCCCCTTTTTGCTTTTGTTTTTGGTGTCTCATCTAAGAGAATGTTGCCTAACTCAGGTTACCAAGGGGATACAATTTGTGTGGGTTTCAACCTTGGGTGGGGCTTCTTTTGGCCTTGGGGGCGTGGCTTTTGTAGGTGGTAGTGGTGACTTGGTCCTGGGCTGAGGTCAGCATGGTCAGCATATGAGTGGACTGAAGCTGGAAGGCAAGCCGAGCAGGTGCAGCAGTTGGCTTCCCTGTCCTGGGTGCCAGAGAGAGGCATTCCTGCCGGCTGCCCAGGACAGGATGAGGTGAGGAGGTATTTTAAGAGCAGTGATCTGGCAGCCTGGTTGGGAAGAGAAACGCTGGAGCCAAGAGTGAGGTCATGGGAGCCTGGATTAAAACAGTGGGGAGCTAGGAGGGGTCGGGTCAGGGGCCCGCTGAAGAGACAGCAGTCAGCACTGGGCAGAGGCAGAGGAGAGGGACGGAACTACAGCCATGCCTAAGCCACCAGCTACAGTACGATCTTGACGCAGAAAATCTAGGCCTCTGCGATGACAATCTGCTCCACACCCACACTGACTCCACTGCAAGGCGCACAGCTGGGAGAGCGGATATCCTGTCCTGTGGGAATCTCTCGGTTAGAGACCCTAGGCCAGCTGTTTTCTTTCAAGGACAAGAGAAGAACTTCTTGGGATGTGGTGTATTTCTACCACTTTCTCTCTCACACCCCCTCGAATGCCCTTGAAGTCTTCTTTCTTTTTTTAAGACAGGGCCTCTCTATATAGTCCTAGAACTTGATAATGTAGACAGGCTAGCCTTGAACTCACAGAGATCTACTTGCCTCTGCCTCCTAAGTACTGGGATTCAAGGCATATGCTATCATACCTGGCCCAATGAACATTTGATCCTCCCACCTGGGCCTCCTGAGTGCTGGGGTGCTCCCTGTTTACTCATGAAGATGGTGCTAACTGGAACATCCTGGTGTGGAGGAGAACCAGCACCCATTGCCTCAGAGCAAACAAACCAGTAACAGTCCCAGGAAACTGATTTGAGTTTCTCCTGTGTACATCAGCCCTGTACCCTCTGATGTGTGTGTGTGTGTGTGTGTGTGTGTGTGTGACACTCTGGTCTTTTTTCCCTCTTTTAACTCCTTGAGAAATTCAGAGCATGTCAGGACCTCAGCATGGTTAGATTCCTGTCCCAGGGACAGAATGATGTTGACGTTACCAATGAGCTATCTTTCCTGGAGGTGGAGGCTGTCCAAAGGAAGAATCCAGGTGGCTAAGAATATCCCCGGCACTGTGTAGTGCCATGCTCCGGCAATTACTTCATGTCTCCATTTGCTGCTACAGACACAACTATGTACTTGAGGCCAATGGGATGTTAACAGTGAAGGGCCCTGGGCAGGTGGCCTGGACAGGGACAGGTGGTTGGGGACACAGGGCTACAGCTGTATGTCCTGTGCTGTAGACCTGTCTCTGCCAGATTTTAGAGTCAAACCCAAGGGATCCCACACCCACTTAGTGTGACACTGGATGAATTTTTGAAGCACCTGTGTTTAACTGAGTCACATAGCTCACCGCTGCATGTTTTGTCCCAGCAAATGGTCACCGGGAATCTGTGACTTTGAGGGGCAATTTGATCACCTTTGCCTGCAGGTCTTTCTTGGTTTCTGTTGGTTTGTTTCAAGTCCACATGAGTCACTGCTAGGTCCAGTTTCTTCTTAGGCCGTGATATGTCCTTGTACAGTCCACCTGTTGTCTGACCAGGGCTTTGAGCCACTGACTGTAAGGCTGTAACCTGAGTCCAACACCTGCTTTCTGTTTGTGATAAGTGTACAGACATGACTGTCCAGGCATCTGAAGGCCTAGATAGGCACGACTGTCACAGACGCCTTCTGGAAGTTTGGTGGGTATGCCTGTCTTTCCTAGCGGACTCCTGGGCTCTGTCTGAGAGGTAATGAATCAGATGCAGCCCTATCTAAGCAGTGAAGGAACCCAGCCCTCCCTATATGCTCTGCTCCTCTATTGAAGAACTGAAGCTCAGGTGTGAGGTTGTCGAGCAGGTGACCCAATAAGACCCATATTTTGTCCCCACCCCCTTATCCACCCCCTGAGTGTTCTGAGACCAACAGTGTGGCTTTACCTGATTTAAGATGAGAACTAAAAGCCTCTGGGTGTCACTCTTCTTAGGCAACCCTAAGGAAGTTGTTTCCTGTTAACTTAGTGCTGTTGGATTATGAGGGGCACTGTCGGCTGAGAAGTGAACTCTGGGACTCCGGACCCTAGATGTGTCATGTCATACAGACTTGTTCTACTCACCTGTAGCCTCAGACTTGTCCAACCACGTGTGAAACACCAGCCAGTGGTAACCTACACATGACCCCTCATTTGCATACCTTTCAGGGACTCTTTATCTAGGTTGTATATGTGTGTGGTGTCTTCTCATAACTTGCCTTTCCAATAATATGATGAGTTTGTTTTGAGGCTAAGTCTTGTAGCTGAGGGTGGTCTTGAATTCCCTATCCTTCTGCCCCAAGTGCCACCACACCTGGCTTCAGTGAGGTGACATTGAAGTTAAATGACAACTTAGCTGTTGCTTAAGTCACAGTTCAAGTGTAGCAGCAGAACATTTCCTAAGTGTTAAAGAAAATCTCAGAAGGACCCGGAGTTGGACTGGAAGGCCAGGGTGCAAAATTCTGTGGCATTTCTCTGTTCAGACCTCCAGAACCTTGGCTGTGATGGTTAACACGGTCAGCTAGACAGGGTGTAGAGTCACTAGGGATGGACTTCTTGATGTGTCTATAAGGGAGTTGCTAATTGTTTAATTAGAATAGAGAGATTCACCCTCAGACTGTGGACAACTGGGGTCCTGGGCAGGATAAAAAAGAAGCAAACTGAGGACAGGCAGTTCTCTGTTGCTTCCTGAATATGGACAGGGGCAGTGACTAGATGTGTCTCTCTCTTGCTGCTATGCCCTCCCCAAACTGTGAGACAAACTGTTCTGTGTATTGTTCTTGTTGGATACTTTATCACAGTAGTGGGAAGAGTACAGTGTCTAACGTAAGCCACTGAGCGGGCTAACCTAGCTCTTCCCCATCACTAGAGTTTTCTCAGAGCACACTCAGATCCCTGTCTCCAGAAAGGCCTGAGGCAGGCACTTCTCATGACCCCAGGTTTGCAGATATAGGACCATGAGATGAGGGTGTGCTGCTCCCTTGTTCTGGGGCCTCTGAGCTATAGCACTGGGATTGGCATAAAGAGAGAGCCATTTCAGGAAGGAGTAAACTGGTAGCCCTAAGAGGACAGGAAGCTTGGATACTGCAAAGAGGTGGCCAAAGAAAGTGGCTGTGTCTTCAGCTTGTGGGACTTCTTTGTAGTGTGCCATCGGCTGTTTGCCTGGGGCCATCAGCTGCAGCCCCCACACTTGGGCTGCATGTAGTTTTAGTGCTATAGGCTTATTCTGCCAAGAGAGCTAGGTTTCTTTGCACCTATGATGCAAGAAAACAGTCATGTCTGTGGCCCCTATCTCTGTGTGAGAACAAGGGATATGTGGGACAGTAGGAGTGATTCTGCTTCTCTTCGAACTCTCTCTTGAAGGGAGGCCCCAGGACAGCCACTTTCTGCTTGGTGTGTTCTCTGCCTTCTCCACTCCCTTCCCACATCTGCAGAACCCAGTGTGGGGACCTACTAGGCCAGACTAAAGAACCCTGGGGTCCTGCCTTCCCCAGATACCAACCTTTGTGGCTGTCTGTAATCAGAGTATTCTTGGGGCCTTGTCAGAGCCATGGTCTGACCCATGGGGGTCAGAACTCCCAAGTCCTGGTGTGAGGTACACTCTCTTTTCTTTCTGGGACCAGAGAAAGGCACAAGGTAGTAGGTTGGACAGGCCTGGGTCAGGGTGTTCAATCTCCTTCTGTGGTCTCCATCTCTTAATGTGGCCACTAATCCTTTGGGTCGCACTACTGACCTCTCTCTATATCCCTGTTCTTGGGTCAACACTGACTGTCCCTTTCTGTTCTTGCAGCCTCAAGATGGTGCTCATGTGGACAAGTGGGGACACCTTCAAGACAGCCTACTTCTTGCTCAATGGTGCACCTCTGCAGTTCTCAGTCTGTGGGCTGCTACAGGTCATGGTGGACCTGGCCATCCTGGGGCAGGCCTATGCCTTTGCTCACCACCCCCAGAAGCCAGCAGCCCATGCAGTGCACCCTGCCAGCGCCAAGGCTCTCTGAGGAATCTAGGGAGGACAAGGACATGTGACCGACCAGCCGTGGGTGCTGAGTCCCAGTCTGTGCTTCTGCATCAGGGAGACTGGTCCTGTGCACTCCACAGATGGGCCAGGTGTAGGCAGAGATTAACTTGAGTGCTGTGTCCCCATCAGCCTTCTGGTGGGGGACTGAGGGTCAGTGGAGCTAGGGCTGCCTCTGTGGGGTTTTCAAGGTGTTAGAAAAGGCAGGCGTCTTTCCTTACCTCCTCCAGAAAAACTCTGGCCTGATCCTGAAATAGGTTCATGCCACTAAACAAGATGGCAGGCAGAGCAAGCAGCTAAGTTCCTTCCTCTCAGCCATCTTCTCTCAGTGAGCCTCTGGTCTCCTAGCAGAGCCTGTGGCACTCTTAGTGTGTAGTCATGGCTGCAGGCGGCTTGTCTGTCCTTAAGTTCTGGCCTGTCCTACCCTAGTATGCCACGGGTATGTCTACTGCACCTGGGGGAGATAGAGGCTGTTGGCCTGACACTGGTCACTGTATTTTGCTCCTCTCTTGAGCTCATCATGAGATCATGTTGTGCTTAGCAGCCTTGTGCTGACCTGGCTGGCTCCTGGGTCCAGAATGTTCTAGATGCTTCTATATAACAGTATCTTCCCTTCTGCTGGGCAGAAGAACTTCTTGTGCACACGATGATGCTATCCAGTTAGCACAATAGCTCTGAAAGTCATGGTGGCTCACCTGATGGCCAAAGAGTCCACACTGTGCCACCTTCAAGCTTCCCTTGGATATTCTAAGTGTGCGAGCAAGATTCTTGCTCACTGTCTGGCCTGTCAGATGCTTGTAAGATGTTTATTTTTTAAAAATGAAGGGAGATGTCTGTAGTGGTAATTACCTCCAAAATAAATGCCATCGATGGCAGCTCCAGCTGCTGAATAAACATGTTCCGTGTGGTGTATGTAAGTCAGTAAACAGCGTTCGGATCCAGGAGGGAGGATCAGTCACAGCGGGTGGACAGGACAGGAGGCGGTGCGATGTTGGGTGGAGGGTGGCGGTACAAGTCGGGGGGGGGAAGGTAACTTGTAGAAATTGAGGAGATGGAAGCTGGTACAGGTTCTGGTGGGGGATTCAGGGTTGCATCGGGTTGGAAAGCTCACATGACTTTTAGGGATATGACCCAGGTCTGGGCGGATGAGGGCATCTCTCTGGCACTTGAGGGTATGGCTCTCTGAGCTGAATGAACTCAGATTGTCCTCCATGAGCACCACAGAGGGTGCCAGGTAAGCCACAAAGACACAGTCGTGACTGGGTTATAGTTGAAGGAAGGGGTTTGGGGATCACTCTGGACCAACAGGGAGGAAACAGAAGTAGTGAGACAGTGACTGGCTCAGGGGTGTACTGACTTTTCTTCCTTAGCCAGGGTGTTGGTAGACTGCGAGGTCATTGCTTGTGTGGCTGAGGCTGCACCTCACTTCAGTTCTTAGTACACAAAGCTTAGTCTAGCTCCTGGATGTGAGAAAGAGCTGTTTTCTTCAGCCCAGTTGTTGCTGTGGTTGTGGTCACTGTGAGCATCACGTGCACCAAGAATGCAGCCAGTGCACTGTGCATGTCTTGGCAAGTATTTCCACGTGGACTTAATCTGTGTCCTAAGGGGACTGACTGGAATCTAGGGAATACATGTTTCCTGAAACCAAACAGGAAGCTGAGGCCACAGTATATCCAGCCCTGAATCCTTCCCAGAAGGTTTTAGTAGGGGAGTCCCCTGGGTCTGTATAGGCAGAGGAGTTTTGAGCTGGTGGTCTGCTTGTTTAGAAGAGATGTGTCCTTCCCTGCACCCATTCTCAACCGAGCTGGCTGTCAACCCTTCCCATATGGTAACCGAAGGTGGCCTCTGGTGGCCTGGTTGGTGATGCTCTTGGGCACTGGCTAGTATAACTAGATCCTTTACTCATTCCTCATGGCTTCCAAGAGACAGTAACCTGGAAAATTTCCTTCTGGGATCTTTAGGGAGGAAAAGATCTGCACCTGCCTAGCCGGTGTCCATATCATTCCTTGAGAGAAGGAGTCCACCTTGAATGTCAGCCTGACACAAAGAACTGCCTCTGGCTGGATCTCTGCTGGCACCAAAGTCCCTGATGGGACCTAAGCAAGCCCAAGGCCATTCCTACACGAAGGGCAGTTCACCTTAGAAGTCTCAGGTCTGTCTTCAGTGTGTGGTCAGGATCTACCCTTGTTACATATGCTGGTGGGGCAGGCCTGAGGCCAAGGTACACTTGGGTAACCTCTAGCTCTGCCTCCTGTTAGAGGAAAGCTCTGGCTTTTCCAGTCCCCGCATTTCCCCGTTCCTTCACTACAAGTGCCTTAAAAGATCCTGCTGGCCTTGACCTTGGTGGATGTGGGCCCAGCAGTAAGAAAGAAGCCAGGCTCCAGGTTTCAGCCAGGCTCAGCCAGGCCCATCCCCAGTAGTTGTCTCTACATGTGAAAGAACATTCTTTTTGCCCCAAAGGGCTTGTGCAAAGATCCCAGAAAAGAGTGGATACACAGAAGAAAAATGGGAGATTTTCTTGCTTAGTTCACTGGCCTCCATCTCTTGCTTGGTCTAGGAAGACTGCTGCTGGCGAACCCAAGTTACCTGTTTACTTCCCGGGTTCATCCTCTCTCATACTGTGCCTTGACAGGTGAAGCCCATTTGTGTGCATGTCTGTCACTCCATGTCACCCTTATCCTCAGGGACATGTTGTGGATATCCAAGCCCTGAGTCCTGCATTCAGTTCTCTACCTGCCACCCTGAAATTACCCACCTACCCTGGGAGTGAGGACCATGTGACGTGGCTTTTACTGAACTGTCGGGGCAAGGGTGCTAACAAAGTGAGGTTGGGGTGCTCTCTCCCTCCTGTGTTTCCCAGCCTCCCAAATCACAGGAACCCCGTTTCTAGCTCTAGAAGCCCAAGGCTCAGCATGGACCCCACAAAAACATAAATGATACCTAAGTGAGGAACTCAGCCTATGGCCATTAGGAGGGGCTGGCAACTCTTTATTTGGCTGCAGTAAATTTTTGCAAAGCCTGTGGTGCAAGGGCCCCAAATGGGCCTGTGCTGAGCTCACATAGGGGCCTTGCTGAAAGCTACTATGTAATAGGCAATGATGGTGGCCTACAACCCAGTCTGTCTATGACTATCTTGGGTATAGTGGTGGGGCTCACTGAGCTTCTGATCTTCCTGTATCCACTTCCCAAGGGCCGCAGTTGCAGGCATATGCCACCACCTGTGGGCTTGTTGAAACAGGGCAAAGCAACACAGTTTGGGAGGTTCCATTTCCCTTGCCTCCACGGAGTAGAGAAAGGCCGCTCTTCCTCCTGGCGGTGCCCTCACCATCTTCTCCCTGAACTGCCTCCTCACCACAGTAGGCTTGCTCAAGGGTTTTGGTTTTCACTTCAGCCACATCTAAGGGAAATGTCCCAACAGACGAGACACCAACATCCCCTGGAGACAGGCAACCTTCCTGCAGACCCAGGGAAGGCAGGGAAAGGGTTAAAAGGCCACTATGCAAGTGATCTGATTGAGACGGTTTGAGAAAACAGAGGTCAACTCTGAGATTTCTTTCCTCCTGCAAAGGGTGGATAGGCGGAACTAAGAGGGCTAAGTGTCCCGTCAACTACCCAACACTTGGCAGGTAATGTGGACGCTGGCAGTGACAGATGCCAGCTGATGCCCTCTTTTATATGGGTATTGCCCACTAAGGATCACAAGGTAGATGCCATCCTCTGTTCCCTGGGGCTGCCTTAGATTTGGAGCAAGGAAGGACAAAATTTAGTCCAGGTTGGCTGGTATTTGCTTCAGACTTGGAATTTCTGGGATTCAATTATTTTTAATTAACCATAGAAAATTTAAAACTGGAGGGAAAAATAAAAGCAAAAAAGAAAGACCAGGTTGCTATATCCTCCAGGCTACGCGAAGCTCGGGGGTTGCTTGGGGAGCCAGCTGCAACGCCAGCTGCAACGACATGCCAGACCAAGTTTGCGACTCTTGGGTCAGCCAGAGCTTGGTGTCCTCTGAGGCTTTGACTCTCTGAAGCTCTAAGTAGAGCTCAGGGTCCCACCCGGCCCGGTGAACTCCCTGCCGCGCCCGCGGTCTCCTGAGAGCTGTCCTCGGTGGCGCTGGCGGAACGCGTGCTGTCGTCGCGTGTGCTGTCCTCGCGCAGGGCCGGTTCAGGGCTGGCCGCGCGCTGTTGTTGCTCCTTGAGCTCCGAGTAGGAGCGCGAGAAGGTGTGGAAGATGGAAGTGACTGGGAAAGCCATGAGCAGGATGCCGCTGAGGATGCTGCTCAGCGCCACCACCTGGCCGGGAAGGCTGCGCGGCACCATGTCTCCATAGCCCACGGTGGTCATGGAGATGACTGCCCACCAGTAGCTGGCGGGGACGCTGGAGAAGTCGCGGTGAGCGCCCAGCTCGCGCTCAGCCAGGTGCACGAGCGGAGCGAAGAGCGCCATGGCCACGCAGAGGAAGAGCAGCAGCAGTCCGAACTCGCGCGCGCAGCGGCGCACGGTGAGGCCAAGTGAGCGCAGCCCCAGCGAGTGGCGCGCCAGGCGCATCACATAGAGCACACGCAGCGCCCGCAGCAGCCGCAGCACCAGCCCCGCGCGCTCCAGCATCTTGCTGCCGGTGGGCCCTGCCGCCAGTCCCGCGAGCAGCGACACGTAGAAGGGGAGGATAGCCAGGATGTCGATGATGGCAAGCGGCGTCCGGAGGAAGGCACACTTGCTCTCGGCCTGCAGGGAGCGCAGCAGGAACTCGAAGGAGAACCAGGCCACGCACACCGTCTCCAGCACGAACAGGTTGCGGCACTTCGTGGAGCACTCGCCCTATGGAGGAGAGGAACATCGGATTGGCGGATGGGCGATGGCCACGAGAAAATCAGGAAGGGAAGCAGGATGTCACACAAACACGCACCAGGGACATCTGGGAATGGGGAAAGGGTATAGAAGAATTTGGCTAAAAAGGCCCAATCTGCTCCCACCCCATTCTTTTGAAGATTTATTTGACACCATTTTTTGTATGTGAGCTGATGAGCAGGCTGACTCAGGAAATTGGAAAGGCATTTAAAACCTGGGACCACTGACCACGGAGCGTCTCTGACTTGATCTGTGAGATGCCTACAAAAAAGTTCTGGCTGAGACCCTGATTCTTAAAGAGATCAAAATCGACACATTTCACACAACTAGAACAGGAAATACAGGTGGAGGCACGACTACTGTCACCAACAAGGAAAAGGATATAAGACACATTGTGACGTGTTTAATGTGCCTCCAACTTGGATAATTTGGATGCAATGAACAAATTCTAGAATGGTAAAACAGAAAGGGACTTAGGACGAAAAGAGTGTCTGAAGCAACCTGGAGACAAGAGTTGGAGGCCAGGAGGTTAAACAGCAGTGAGCCCACTCAGAGACCAGCGGCCCAGACAGCCCTACATAGTGTCCCACAATGTCCAAGTAGTAACACCGAGTTATTAACACTAACCACAACAAAACAAGAGTGAAGGAACTTCTGAGCAATACAAAACATAGACAGTGTCATCTTCAGAAAACTACAGAAGCATAAGAAAAACAGGGTCTCGAGTCTGCCCTCCAACCCAGCTGTTGGGAGATGAAGGCAGGAGAATTAGGAATTCAGGCTTATCTTCAACTGTATATCTGGTTGAGGCTAGAATCAGCACCCTAGCCCATCTCAGAAACAAAAGTGAAAACAGCAACAATCAAGTTTAAAGTAGTAACAGAAGCCAGCAGCAGACAGAAGACTTTGAAACCAGGATGGAGGCTCTCTGAGACAGGTCAGCAGATACACACACCAGCCAACAAGACTTAAAACCTGAGTTTGACTCCTAAGAGCTACATGGTGGAAGGAGAGAACCCACGTCTGCAAGT